CCTTTGTATTGTTCAGGACCTATCTGGCCCTCAAAAATAGATGCAATTGAATGTACAGTGGGTGGACTGTTATTTTTGGCTGCTTGTTTTGGATTCCAGAGCTTCAAAGCACAAACTTGAAGTCACAAGAATTGGTGAAGTGGTGCAGAATAGGTCCCAAAGAATGAATATGAGAAAAAAAAAAACAAAGTTTCAAAAGCTATGGAAAATAAAAAATGAAAATGTTTTTTTCCAAAAGCTTTGATATTCATTTTGGGGGAGTGGGAGTGCTGGAAGGAAGATAGAATGGAAAATGGGAAGAACAATTATATTCCAATTTGATGTATGGTGAAGGTGGTGAGTTCATTCAAGAAATGCTTTCACTGTAAAAATAAAGATCCTTAACACCTCAGAGTCTCAGTTGTTGCAGCACAATGGTGCTCATAATGGGTTGTGATCAACTGGGACAGAGTGTGAGGTTTGTGGAAGGATGATCTGAATTAAATGTAACACGAGGGAGAGAAACAAACAGAAAGAGAGAGACAAGAGAAAAGGAAAGAAAGAGAAATGGAGAAATGATATTTTTGGTTTTTTCTTTGGTTTGAAGACAAAGAATTCAATTGACACAGGTATCAGAGTCCCAGCTGTTGCAGTGCAGTGCAATGGTGCTGATAACCTTTTCTGATAGACTGGAACAGATTGTGGGTTTTCTGGAAGGATGATCTGAATTTCATGACTCAAAGAGAGCAACAAACAGAAAGATAGAGACAAGGGACGTAAAGGAAGGAAAGAGAAACAGAGATAAAGGAACATGTGGTACAAAGTGTGAGGTTTGTTGAAGGATGAGGAAAGAAACTCCTGCACATACCCTGAATCTTGTGACATATATATGACACATAGGATGAAAGGTGAGAAGAACAAAAGGGAAAGAATACTCCAACAGATAATTCTGGAATTCTGACCAATACAAGCTTTGTGGGTGCAGCTATTCTCATAGATCAATGGAAAAAACAAACAAATGAGTTACTGAATCAGGAAAGGGATAGCACCATGTAATTGAAATATGAAACTTCTATGTTTTTTCAGTTACTTTTCCTTCAGAATAGAAGCCACTTTCCCTGAGAAATGAATTTTTTTGATGAATTCAAATAAGAATCTGAAATATCTGCCTTCTTCAATTATTAAATCTAAAAACTTCAAATAAGAAATTTTTGAATCAGACCCAGGTGAAAACATGTTTTGTGATTTCTTTATTTTGAAAGAATCAAAACCCATCCTTCCAATCCTAGAAAAAATTCACAATTCTTGAATGTAAATTTTTTGATGAAGAGTATGTCTGTCTTCTTAATTTTTCTATTTTTTCTTGTAAAGATTGAATTTTATCCTGCATTTCTTTTTTACACCCTTCCAAATCTTCAGTTTTCATTGTGAGATTGTTCCTGTATTCAGTTTGAATTTTGGAATTATAGATTTCATGCTCAATAAATTCCAGTTCTTGCTGAGGTGATATTGGTACTGTGATTCCTTTTTTCTCTTTGAGGGGAAAGCTTTTATTCAAATACTTGCTGAAATCTTCCAACTCTAGCAGAGCCTGAATTCTAGAAAAAATTAGATTCAATCTATTTCTTACTTGATTTTGTTCAAATTGATATTGCAATCTTGTGATGATTGGTATTTTTGATTCTGGTTGTGTTTTAAGGAAGTTTTCATCAACAAATTCAAGAATACGACCCATCAATTTCAAATCTTCACTTTTTCTCCAATTCTTGGCCCAGCATTGAGGGTCTACAAATTAAATCAATTAGGTTTTCTTCAACAGTAACAAAAGCTACATATCCTTCTGTTTCACTTCTCAAAGCAAAAAGTAGTGAATGTTTTTGGAAAAAGCATTCTTTCCATTGTTTTGCCTTTCTCTGGAAATTAGATAAATTATGACCAGGTAGGTACCTTTCAAAATCAGATTTCAGAAACATGAACAAAAGGTTGGCCTTTGCTTCAGGATCCACTTTTGATGTTTAATGAAAAATGAAACAAGAATGTCAATAAATCTTCAGCTTGATGAAAGTAAGAAGAAGAACACAATGGTGGGAACATATTCAAAAAATGTGATGAATGTCTTCTTGTCAATAAAATTTTTCCATTTCCAAAAAAATAGTCTTCATGCTCTTTTCCAGAATGGTAAAAATTTTGAAACAGTTTTTGATTGAAGCCACTAGGTTTACACCAGTCCTCAAATAACTTCTTGAATCCAGCTTTGTTTAACAAATTATGCTTGTAAACTAGTTCAACTGCTTGAATATCAATTCTTTTGATGGCATTGACCTGTTTATATTCATTGAAATTAGGTGATGAACATTCACGGTATAAATCGTAATAAATATCTATAAGTTCTTTCATGGGGAAATAACGTCTTGTATTTTCCACACCAGTTACTGATCTTTTTTCTTCTGAAGGACTACGTCTAGGGAAAAAGATGGGCTATCATTTCAGTGTTTGAAGGCAATTGAGATTTTTTCAATGTTATATGATTCAGAAATCGATGGACTTACTTCTTCCCTGAAGCAAATTCCCTGGTAAAGAGTGCTGGGTCTAAATCATTGTACAATGCCCACTCCTTCAATGAAACTTCTATATAATCATCCAAGCTGTTGAGGACAAGTTTTAAACCTTTGGCTGATTTAATCAGAAATTCTCTCTGAGCAAGTCGATTCTTCACTTGTATATGCCTGTTATAACTGTCATCCGGAATTCCTTTCAAAAAGTCTATCAAATAAACGGAATTGATCATTTTATCATGATCTTGGTTCAGCTGATTAAATTCCTCCCAGATATCTGTTGCCCACATGGTTGCCCAGTAAAGGTTTGCTGGAGCTGTGTTAGAGGAACCTGGTTTTTCACTCTGGGTATATTTCATTACATGGTCCAAGTCTATTGGAAAGATGAGGGAAAAATAAATCAGTTGCAGAAGTATGCATGTTCCAAAAATGTAAAGTGAGAGCTTACATTCTTTGTATAATCCAGGAGTTGGCTTTCTCAACTGTTTCACAGAGTGAAAGTATTTCTCCATGTCTCCTGAAGGTGAATGCTGTTCTGGATTTGGTGAGGGACCCACATGAAATGTTTCTCCACGGACCATTGGAGTTGCTACTCCTAATGCTGATGGGTTTAATTGATCATTAAAAGACAGTCAATTAAATAATAAAATTGGGGGGTTTAGGAAAGTGCTGAAGGATGACATACGATTTCCTTTGTCATCTGTTACCAGTAGTGCCTCACCCTTTCCTTTGAGAGCACCATTCATGCATTGAGTTGTTTGGAAGTAGAACAGGGAAAGAACTATAAATTTTAATCTTGGGTATCCTGGAGACATCACTGTCTTGAATAAAGTACTCAAAATGGTAGTTGCACTGTTTGCTTCAAGAATACAAAATAATTTGCATATAATGATACTAGGCTTTACTTGCAGTGGTATAAATGGATAGAATAATACTAGGTTTATTCCAGATAGGGCTATTGATGAGGGTGAGCAGACTTGGCAAGTTCACAGTGAACGTCTCTAAGAAGTGGAGACTGAACAAGGACCAAGCAGTAGTATGAAGGTGGAAAGTTATGTTTTGGGGGAGACCAATGATGCAAACTTCAGGATTTGTATTCACGTCATTTTAATGATAACATTGTACAACTGATATGTAGACTTCACTCTGAGGGATCAATTTTCCGGCAAAACACGCACCACCTTTTTAGTAACAGCGCACCAAACCTCAACCTGCGGATACATATTAATGTCAGGCTTGTTTTGGATAGTGAAAATACAAGACCTCGTTGAGGATCCAAACCATCCCAAACCCGCAGGTAAACATGATCCAGCTGTTGTGAGCTGGATCACAGTCTTACTTGGCTGTAGCTCTCTACTGCGGAGTAGACTGTAGTCTCCTCCACCGGAGCCTGAGCCCGGCATTACACTAGCATCAGTACCCGAGCTATGGTCTCTGCACCAGCTTACAACTATTACTGATCTGAAGCGCTGCATCATCAGTGGTAGTGTGGTCAGCTGGAAAGCAGTTATTTACATGAGGCGTGTTCGAATGGGAAGCTTGCCATAATTGCTCAGACCAGCTTTGGATGTTTCGGGTCTGTGTGTTTTATGTGATCACAGCGCGTAAAACTAAGCAGACCGACGACCTAACTTAACTAAGTCCCCCCTCCGAAAAAAAAGGAGGGACTTAGTTAAGTTAGACCGACGACCTCTGTTTTGTCGATTTTGTTGTACCCACCTAAATATGTTATGAATCCCAAACTAGCAATCAATACCAGTCCCTCGATCGGAGGGATTGTCAGGCCGGTGCAAAGCGAGCCTCCGGAGTGTCATGTCCTGGTGTTACTACACCCGCACGGAAGGGGTACAGATTCCAGCTCTACACTGGCAGGAGCTGGAAAAATTGGCAGGTTGGGGGCGCGGTGATGGCATCTATGATCTATGGCGCAAATGTGGCCAGTTTGGCGGTCCAGGCCCGCCAATTGCTTTTTTTGGCAAAAATGGTAGGCCAGTACCTCCATACATGCGGCTGATTGATTACATTACACCGTGAGCTTTGGACTTGAGAAAACAAAAAATTGAATAGCTGATGTTCATGCATTTATCATCACTTGAATTAAAAAATCAAATGCAAATGTTTCTAACAACAGGTCCTCGTTTCTTCGCCATTCTCCCTACTGATTCTCAAGGTAAAAATATATGAGACCACTCCAGTTAAATTCGATTTTTCACCACTTTTTGTTTCTTTGGGGATTTTACGCGTCGGAAGTGAGTTGACATCTATGAAACAATAAATTTACTATGAATGTTTTCACTTTCTTCCGGTAAAGAACATGGATTGCTGACATGTCGTACGTACCATTTTCTTCGATTTTCTGGCAGCCTCGAGTAGTATTTCGTCTCTTGAGGCTCTGGCCTTGGTGAATCTGTTTACAAAAGAAACGGAAACAAGGAAGCAACAGGCAGAGATGAGTGATGGAAAGAATCAAAGCTCGAGGACGTTAAGCATGCGTGACTTAGGTACGTACCGCATGAAGTTTTCTTGACCACTTCTGACTCCTAGCAAGCTTGCAAGGCCCTTTAATTTTGGGTCATCCGAGTTGGGTGTTGGATTACCTGGTTCAGTTTTCGTCGCGAAATGATGTCTCAATCGCCCGAGTCGGTCGTGATCAACCCTCGGAGAATAATATCTTCCAGCGATACAACCGATCTCGAGATGATGGATTGAATGCTCCGGCGTAATCTGTGAGAACTTGAATCCCTTCGGAGCCGGTGGCAATTCGCCCGGGGACGTCAAGATAGCGCCTTTGGGTACCTCGTCAGCACACTGCCTTAACCAAGCATTCTTCGATGGCCGGAGTGCACTGGCGGCAATTGATTCTTCCGAAGCTTTTTGTGGAACCAATTCGAAGATCCGGCCTCCCGCGATCGCTGATTTGGAATGCTGGTTCTTCCTAAAGAAGTTGATATGCAGAAATAGGACTTGCTTGCTAGTAATAGTATCAAGATTAACAACATCAGGGGATGTATGGTGCGGGTTTTCTAGCAGTTTGAGTCGAACAAGATCTTGAGTACAAATTTTTTCGGCCCCGAGCCACACAGCTTTGCATTGCGTACAATCGCTCCTTGCGAAGTTGTCTGATGATAAACTTTGCTTTTCATCAGGTATCTCGAGAATGGTGCGCGGTGCCTTCGAGTACTGAGCTGGAGCCCATACTCCTTCGATCTCCGCTCCAATCTGAATCGCAAGTTGAAAATGTAATCTACCGATTACTGGATTCGAGAGACTGGCGAGACTTGGCATCGGCTTACTGGGGTCTAGAACATACTCTGGGATTGGTAACTTCCCAGTTGATATGACGCTCCAAACAGATTCTTCGATAGGGCGATACAGCCAAGGTAACAATTGAGATTCCGTTCGCATGACTGAGTCTGATAGGCCGAGTAACTGAACCGACCAATATTGTTTCTGGTGAACTTCTTTCTTCAATTTCCAAGTAGTCGAGTCCTCATCCCGATCCCTCTGCGCTATCATTTGCGGAGCAAGTTGGTTTTCTCCTGTGGCGAGATCAACTACTTCACACGCCTCTATGTTGACTTCAGTTTGTTGGCATATTCCGGGCCAATACTTGGAATCCAAACGGAGTTTCGAATCTTTGAAATCTAACTCGCACCAGACTAACTCCAGCGGTCTGTAATTCGAATTTGTTTCGTGGCGGCCTAATTTATGAGAGGTTGGCTTGATTTCTTCAATTTCGTCTTGACTTGCATGTTCCCTATTGTCCCTTTCAACCGAGTGGGAACCTATCACGATGCAAGATTTGAGAAGAAGAAAAACGTAAATTCGAGTTTCCGTTGATGATGAGAGTTTGAAGACCTAGGGTAAATTCACCTACCCGTAGAAGGAGTCGTCGCCTGAAGCCCTTCGACACCGAAAGCGCCACCTGGGATTAGACAGTAGACCGAAATGATTTCATTAAACAAAGAGCGACAAACAAAAAAAACTTTTCGGATGGCCATCACCCTACTTTGACAGTATTTGCATGTGCAGTTGTTGTCCTTTCCTCCTTGTGATGCAAGCCATGTCAGATGAGGTAAAAATTCGGCCGCCGTTCTAAACTTGAGCTTCAAATTCTTTTCTATGTAATCAAATTTATAATAGTATGAGAATTGGAATCAGGGCATGAATATTGATTTTCAAGAAGAGTTGAGAAGATGCGGGTGCTTACTGTTAGGATAACCAAAGAGATAAGAAGTCCGTCTTGAATCCTTCACATGATAGAAAAGCTGATAGCCCGCGGGAAAATCCGACAAGGTGAATTTATCTCTTTCTCGACCTTTTGTTGTATGTAAGTGCAAACACAAACAAGAAATAAATGGGGTACGGTTGGTCAATGACAGAAGTATTGCGCGCACATCGTCCAAGTTCAATGATGACTCGTCTCCGTACCAATAGAAAAATGTGCGGCGAGTCCTTGTCCCAGTGTTTTCAGCCACATTCTTTGCACATTAGAGTCGGCTTGAACCCTTTCCCAGTGATGCGATTTAATGTTCTCGTTGTACTCAGTATGAATGGAGGTTCCAGAAGGTTGAGCAAAAGTGCCATCACTGACGAGGAGACTGATTTTTGGGAGTCCGGGAACGAGATTGGAGGGATCAATCCGGATCTTTTTCGCCAGTCGGCTCCAAGTGGGGGTTTCACTATCATCCACTATGAGTCTATCGTGGTTCTGCATAACTGACTTGTTTATCGTGGATGGGGTGCAATCACCACTGTAAACATTTACTTATTTATCTACTTGAACGAAGGGAATCGTCTGCTCTGAGACACTTGGCGAGATCACGGGCACTCGGTGAAGGATGTCTTGTCGGGGTGAGATTTGCGCGTCGGGAGGTGCTATATTTATATCCCATATGATGGATGATATGGACCCCGAGCTATGCAACTTGGAGGGAAAGAATAAAAACCAAAAGAGTGTGTCGCTGAGGCTCTGAGCTATCGACAGATGAGGGCGATATGCACAAAGGAATACTGACACAACCTATTTATGTATGCAAACTCAGCTTTGTTAGCTCGCTAACATGTGCACATGGTCACCGGTGAATCGGTGATGATAGAATGTGAGTTCAGTAATGTTGACTGAGCATCCAATTCTTGATGCCCACCAACTAAAGCACCATCAGGTACTATCGCGTGCACAACTTTTCTTCTCAATTCTGGGTGTCCACTGTCCACATTAGGAGCTTTGAAGAAAGGCTCAAATTTAGCCTCAGTTTGTAAGGTTTAGCTTCAAGGCTCAAAGACCGAGCAGTATAAGGTATCAATTCAGTGTGGAAATGGGGGCTGGTGGGAGGCGCTCACTCTTATATAAATGTTTCAGAGAATATGCATGTTCAACTTAAAACGCAGGTGTTGGTGTCAACAAACATTCAACTAAATACTTCACTTGAAATCAGCACAAGCTCATACTTTGACCACATACCCCAGGTAGGCAAGCCTGGCCTAAATCTGCCTCAACCCTTGTTTAACAAGAATTTTGTATGTTTGCAAGCAGGGTTCTATCTGCAACAAGCAATATATAAGGGAGTTTGCTGACATGAAGTTCAGGATCACAATGACAGCTGCAAGCAAAGTGATTTTTGATCACTTTGCTTGTCAATGATGTTGAGAAGAGTGAAGATAAGTAAGATGGAATGTTACACTAAAAACAAAGTGTAAACTAAAAAATATATGTAGATAAATGGCCAATAATGGAGGACTTCCCGTCGGATCTGGGACCCTTGCAGAAGTCAATCTAGACCCGAAAACTCTTAATTCTCGAAGAGGAATTTGAATTTTGCGGCTCTAAACCGACTCTGGGAGACCTGCAGATGTTGACGGTGTAGTATGCCAATTGTGTTTCAAGTATCAAATTGCATAAAATCACATTCCAATATGTAGAAGGGCATATATTCTTGGGCGTATTATGGCATAATCACATTCTACGGGTCATTTAACCCATAGTCACTCACTGGAACCACTAGGCTAGCTCCACTCAGTCAAAAGTTATTTGGGATTTAAATTTTAGTTGCATACAAAATGCTTATTGCATAATGTAAACCACAAGTTGGCCTTAGTTTTTTTTACATATTCAATATTCATTGCATAGTGTAAACACAAGTTGGCCACATTGTTTGTAGGTACACTGAGAATCTTGTATAGTAGCAAAACCACAATGTGGCCAGATTTTTAGATGCATATTCATTATAGGTTAGGGCTAGAACCACAAGTTGGCCATTTATAGATTATAGGTTAGGGCTAGAACCACAAGTCAGTCGGGTTGTAAAATAGACTATTTAAGGAGGGGCTTTCCCCCCTCATTCCAATTTTTCATCATCTCATCACAACAGATCATCTCATCTGATCATCAACCAGGCAGAACAGAGCAATCAATCCATACATTAACCAGTGTGATCTTAATCAAGTGCCCCATTGAGATCATTCAGACTTTGAGAAGCATAGCAAAAGGAAAGTAAACAACCAGTACAACTTGTGATCTTAAAAACAAGAGACAGTGATCTTAAACCATTGTGCTCCCAACCAAGGTTAAGGAAGAAGGAAAAGAGAACTAAACACATTTCTTTCCTCAGTAGTATCTCATAAATTATCATTCATTATCAGTACATACGTCAATCATTTTTCAAAATACATAAACAATAAACAAAGGGTTTCTTAAGTTAAACGACTCCCAGAAATTGGAGTTCCGACTCCCAAATTTC